TGGATAGAGAATTACCTGTCACAACGCCGCCAATGTGTTGTCCTGAATGGTACTAAGTCGGAATTTCTAGAGGTCACTTCGGGCGTCCCCCAGGGATCTGTATTGGGGCCTCTGCTATTCATAATTTTTATAAATGACATTAACAAAGATATAAGCTCAAGTATACGGCTCTTTGCTGATGATTGCGTAGTCTACAGAAAAATTCAGAAAGAACATGATGTCCTTGAATTGCAGGCTGATCTTGCACGTATTCATCAATGGTGCCTTAAGTGGCAAATGAAGTTAAACACAAATAAGTGCGTTCATGTGTGTTTTACAAAGAAGAAAAAAATATTTGATGCAAATTTTTGTCTAGGAGGAAATAAATTAGATAAAAAATACTCGTACAAATATTTGGGTGTATTGCTGTCGCATGATTGTTCCTGGAATGCACATGTGGATTATGTGGTTTCCAAAGCCGCGATAGCGTTGAATTATATTCAAAGGAATTTGAGATGTGCAGATCCTAACCTTAGAAGCACGGCCTACCTCACTTGTATTCGTCCAATCTTGGAGTATGCCTGTGCTCTTTGGGACCCAACACAAACAGGTTTGATAAATAAATTAGAAAAAATACAAAACAGAGCAGCCAGGTTTGTTTTGGGTCGGTACGGACAAAAGCAGAGTTGTACCGAAATGAAAAAGGAGTTAAACTGGGAGTTACTGTCGTCCCGTCGCAAAAAATTGCGTTTGAAGCTTTTATACCAGATATTTCATAAAAAAACGGGACTAGACAGCGACACTTACTTAAAAAGACCAGATTACATATCTCAACGTACAGACCACATACACAAAATAAAGCCGTGCCGGGCCAGGACGAACCTGTATTCAAACTCGTTTTTTGTTAAAACTATTAACGAATGGAATTGTTTGACATCTAAGCAAGTGTGCAGTGTTAATGAAGATGTATTTTTTTCAACTTTGTAACCCCCCTGCTGTAACGCCTCTGGCAAAGCGGGGATATGTATGAATAAAGAATAAAGAAAAAAAAATAAGTTTTCCTTGTTTGACTAAAGAGAGGTTGAAGCCCAGCCCACTTCCTTCTAATTCGGCCTCTAATCCTTGTAGGTACATCATGAATAATAAGAGTGACAGGGGGCACCCCTGTTTAAGCCCCCATTTTACCTCTGCAGGCTTGGATACCTGTTTTTCCCACTTTATAACTACCTTGTTACCTTTATAGATACCCTTTAAAAGGTTAGTGACTCCATCTTCCACATCTAGTGTGTCCAGTATTCCCCACAAGTCCTCTTGAACTATGCTATCGTACGCACCCTTGATATTGAAAAATGCTAGCCACAGGGGCTTGAGGTCCTTTTCTGCTTTCTCGATGCACTGCGTCAGTGAGAACAGATTGTCTTCCAACCTCCTGTGTTTTCGAAACCCATTCTGCAGTTTCCCTAGCACCCCCTCATCTTCTATCCGTGCCTGCAGTCTTTCCTTTATAATCTGCATTGCCAGCCTGTCGCCGCTAAAGCCCCTATATTTTGAAAGTAGCGACACTCTCCTCCCTCCGGCCGCTTTCCTCCTCGGATTTTGCTCTCGCACCAGCCGGCGCGCTGCACACGGCACGCTTTGCCGCCCTCCGCACTCGAGGCGCTGCGGCAAGGTCAATGGGATCGCTTGTTGCTTCGGCGTTTTTACGTATTGTTATTAGAACTTTCGCATGCAGACACCACGATGGCTATGCAAAGATCATACGATTGTGATGGACAGGTGTTAACCTCTTAACGAAGAAGTGGCGACGAGAAAAGCTGCGACAAACACAGAACCCTGTTATTGTATTACCAGGTACTTTGCCACTCCGTTTGTGGCGTTTGGTTTTTTCGCTTTTCCTAACATTTTATATATTGTACCATGCTTAAAGTGTTTTTATTTACTATGAAGTTTATGTTTCTGTACCCACTCCCCTCTGTAATGCCCATTCGCTTGTGACGATATTATTTATGAAAACGAATAAATACACGTTGATCAGAGCACTCTACGAAAACTCTTTATTTGCACTTCATCTTTAATATAATTAGGACATCATGATGCACCCAGAAAATACTGGACACACATTTTTGGAAGACATGTTCACGAGAATGAAAGGCGCATACATTACATTTTAGGGTATATACATGCATTTCAAGAAGACAATCAGAAAAGAACACGAACAAGAAAAAACATATATTACTAACAAATTATACAGATTATGCACCAAATAACTTCGCACTCTTAACGAACCTTGGCAACAGCCGCCCGCATGCCAACGCTTTTACTATCGCATTTGCTACTTTTCATCGTAGCTACTTTTGCGTCTTCGTTCCTGACAAGTATTTGGACTCGAACCTTTAGGAACACACGCAAAATGTCTTCGAGGACATCATGGCACGTGGGAAAAGAGGTGACGAAGGTAATGCTGCTTTTTACACTGGCTTGCAGTTGTGCAGTACTGACCGCATTTTTCAGCAGTGCTTCTCTGTTGGAGCGAAAAAGTTCTCAGCAATTTTCGCAGTCTCTACGAAGGCTGGTGAGGGGTTTGTCAATGACTGTCGCGACTGTGAGAAATTCTTAAGCTCAATTAACTTCGATGGTGCACAGTCCAATATCAAAGAAGCACGGCAGTTTTCACAGCGGAGCGTGGATCGTAGCTATGATGCCACATAGCCCGCCAAGTAGATTACTACTTGCTCGATCTCTGAACTTAAATCAAGCAGGTCATCCGGACCTTGGACTTCCTCTGTCGTTTCTTCATTTTGGTGCTGCTCTAGCCCCACCAACAAAAAACCTTCATCATCCGCATAGCTTCCACTTTTACTTGGCCTCAGAAACTGCGATAGTGTCGCGCTCCTCAGACTACATTTGAAATCATACGGCCTTGGCATAGGATTCTTCACCCGCAAAGTTCAGAACAAATTTTCAAGTGCGTCTTGGCTTAGTCTGCTCAGCAAAAAGAAGTGGTACTTGTCAAGCATTTCGGCTTGCACACTCAGAGCTGTTAAAGTGGCTACTGTGAGCCCGCTTTGCACTGGTTTCCAGGGTGCTTTCTTTGGGGCCCCTATTGAAAGTTCAGAAAAAAGGTCGAGAGTATCCTTAAGACACTTTACAGCATCGTCGTAGGATGCTTCCACAGCATGACTAAAAGCAAGCTTCGTAGTCCACGATGTCATTAGTCTGAACCACCGAAACACCTTTGAAATAAACTACGCGGTGGTAAGTGCTTCCTTTTCCAGTTTACCGCTGTCTACTAAAAGGCGCAAATCGGCTGCGGTGTCATTGTGAAAAAGGCTGAACGCGAACTTTACCTTCATTTTGTCGTAATGTTTCGGGTCAACACAGGACGAGTTAAGATGGGGAGCAATTTTAAGTTCGCTTTTCCCATCTTCCTCAACTAGTTTCTTTACATGGGCCAGGTCCACACGAGCAGTCGGCAGCTTGTGCTTTTGAACAACTTCGTCCGGGAGGTAAATGGCCTGGCCAGAAGTCAGGTGGTTTCTGAGGTTTTTAAGAAGGTGGGGAACATCAGGCGTGAACCACAGTCGTCTGGCTGGATCACATGGGTGGACACAACTAGTTGATGGCTTACTATGCCTCCCAGCGTGAATCCCGAACCGGCTCCACAGTGCCATGTTTCCGCCGGCCATGTCCGAAACAACAACATGAATTTTGAGCCCTAGGGATTCGCATGCAGTTATTATTTTGATGAGTTCATCTTTAGGAGAACTTGCGCAAAAAGAATTCTCTGTAAGATGGTAGCCAACTACCTGTTTCCACCTGGATGACAGGCCACCAAGCATGAAAACTAACCCATGGGTAGCTAGGCTATCATCAGGTAGAGAGCCATCTGCTAAAGGGAGCGTGGGCGCCCCCAGAACGGCACCGCACGAGTGGTCGTACACAAGTCCTGAAGTTATTTGCATTTCGTCTATCATGAGTGCTGCATGCCGCTCTTCAGGCTTCATGAGGCTGACCTGCATCAGAAAATAAAAGAAAAGTTGTTCCAAGCAGTTCCGCTGCGATTAAATTATGACTAACGCCAAAAGATATTTAAAAAAACATTACATATGCTCGGGTAAACAAGTGTTATGGAATGGGGTAGGTATTTGCGCGTTACAGTACATTCCACACGTGCAGCGTAATTTTGGCTATGAGCATTGAATACCTTCGTCTTTAGCGGGTCCAGAATATCGGTCAGGAGTCCTCGTCGAAACTTGACGTGTTGAATGTGCCTTTGAAGCGTTCTTTCTGCCGGAATCGGGTATCCATATTCTCTTAGGAAGTTATAGCCACGGGATCATCAGGCGCAGCCTCAGGGAGTGAACAAGGGTGCTGGCTTCCCACCGCATTCCTTGGGTTGACAACCGCTCCACCGAACGCATTTGGTCTTCATTGAAAAGGCCCCTAATCCTCTTCTTCAAGCAGGACTTTTCGTTTTCGCTTTTGAGGTATCTCTTTCTTGCTGTGACCAATTTTCTCATGGTGTTCTCTTGAAGGCGCTCCAGCTGCGCTATCCGATCCAACAGCGCCTGCTGAGATGCTAAAAAAAAGACACGAAAAGCCTGAGGTGACAAACCCATCGTATGCATTACAGAACACCACAGAAAATTACTTACAGGCCTCCAGGTGCGAAGACACAGGAGGCACTCCGAGACTGGCGGTAGGCACAAGCTGGTGTGTTGCATGAGGGGAACCTGCACAAAGAATTATTGTTGCATACATTTGAAAGCCACACGTTAAAAATAGTGGTTTCAATTAGAAAAATCTTTGGTGGTGAAGTGATTGCCGCTGTTACTGGTGGGCAAGTGAAGGGGCTCTTCGGCTGAAAAAAAAAAAAAAGACAAATCTTAGAACATCATCGTTCTCCTGAACATAGCTCCTCTTGACTGATGTTGAAAGCGAGGAAAAAGAACAAAATAGATAAAACGTACGTTCTGCAGTAGCCAAAGGACTACTTGAATCTGAAGCTGTGCTGTCACTAGCAATTGAAGTCACAGGAACAAGCGAACCTGTGGAATGCAAATCAGAAAAAAAATCGACAAGCCCTAAACAAAGCTATCATTTCTCACCTGACAAAGCCACGTCCATGTGTGCCTGGCTATTGCTGGACTGCGGGCTTAGTGGGACTTCAGCTGTAAATAAAATTTAACATAAAAACCCTGTGAACAAACAGAAGGTGCTTCAACATTAATCGCAAACAGCAAAAAAAGAATCTTACGAGAAACCTCGGGCAGGCTTTCCACAGGCGCTATTACGCTTTCGTCGTCCAAACCCATCACTGCAAGTTGTGTCTGTTGCGTCGGCACCGACAGACTGGCGGAAGAGGATCCCGCATATTTCTCCCCAACGAACGAAGTTGAGGAGTTGGACGCAGAACCAGGCGATAACGAGGCAACATGTTCTTGACCGCTGCTACTTTCACATGTCGCGAAGTTCACCTTGCCTGCGGCAACAATGAAGTCATGCACTGAATGACACTCGCGTGCATTCATCCGCGCAAATAACTTCGGATAATATTGGCTACACTAATTCAAAACGCCAAGATAACGCATATCGATTGTAAATTATCAGTAGAGGTTATTGTCATTCCTGAGATCGCTCACCTTGGTGCAAGTGTGTGCGAATTTCGCATCTTTTGGCGGGAGGTTTTTGTTGCTTCGGAGCCGGCCGGTGCGAAAACAAAGTTGGAACGGCGTTTGGTTTCAACTTCTTTTTTCCATACTTCTGCAGTATCAATGGTTCGAACTGATCTTCAGTAAAATGGAGCTGCAAAACAATAATACGATTATTTGAAACTGTGGTATCCCGAACACTTCTCAGGTATTGGTTTTGACCCATTCCGATTTGCAATAAAGAAAAAAAAAAAAGAGCTGAATGATAGCCTCAATGTCCTCCTGTTGTGATTTAAAAGTTCATATTTGCACATGAGCTCTAACCGGTACCTCACGAATGGGCAACCCAGGTAAATATACAAAATACAAATTTAAATACTGCAATATTGAAAAATTACGTGTTGCTGAACATGACTAACATATTACAGTAAGCGGCTTTTTGTTTACTATAAAAAAACTTCTTTACAGCATGTCTAAAACAAAATACAGCTGTGCAGCAATTTTTAAAGACACGTGGAAAAAATTCTACCGAAATAGCACGTCGTTACAGACCAATAGAGAGGGGAAAATAAATGTATAGATTTTTAAGAAAGGTATCTTAAATCCGCATTAAAGTTGCAATCGATGCAGAGGCGCGCATTTTGCTGTACCTCACTTTGCGGTGTCCCGACCCGCTTCTCCGCAAAAAAAAAAAAAAAAAAAAAAAAAGAAGCCTGGTTTCGCAAAAATTAGAAATAGCTGTGAATGTGAAAGAGCGAATTCACCACATTCTATGAAGTCCTCGTGCCGGCGGGGAAATGCCAAAAATTATAGTTTACCTCACACAAAGAAGTCCTTCTGGTAGGCGCAAAGTATTTTCTTCCGATATTGTGCAGCCACTGCTTCTTGCGCTGGACATCTCTTTTTCCCCCACGGAATGTTGAACAGCGAGAATCCTTTTTCGCTTCTGCTATTACATTGATAGGCGCAGCATAACGGCATTGCGATGATAAAAACAAGCGTGAAGAAGCACGTGCACGCTGAAAGTCGCCGTGGCGACCAAGGAGGATACATAAAACTTGCGTATCCTCCTTGGTGGCGACAGGGCGGCAAATGGCGACCAGCGAAAAAAAAAAGAAAAGAAAAAGACAAACAAGTTTGGCCCCCCGCTCGACGAGGGGCGGAGACGTCACGGTGACGTTTCGCTCCCCGCAGCCAATTAGGGCCCGCGGAAGCCCTGTCGTCTCCCCTCCTGAGAGAGTGTGCGAGGAGAGAAGTGGTGGGTAAGGGAAACGGCGGCAAAGATCCAAGAAAGTCCCTACTTTCCAAAATATAGGGGCTTTAGTCGCCGCCGGTCTAAACCGCCTCCTACAGGTGATCACTTGAACTTGAGAGTTTCCGGGGCCTGGTAGTGTATCGGTGTTCTGTGCTCAGATTTCTCCGGGACAGCTTGGGGTGGGCAGTCATTCCCTCTTCCGTTCGCCGACTCCCATTGTTTGGGGCTCGACGGGCTTCGCTGACGGCGCCTCGCGCTCGATGCGAACGCTTACTTTTTGTGGCCCCTTTGCGTACGCTAGGCCGAAGAGGTGTATGGTGTCCTAGTGCGTGGCCAAGCTAAGCCGATCCGTATGTCTCCGAAGCCAACGCGAGCGCCTTTGCCCTTGCTCGAGCAACTAGGCCTTGGTCCCGGTGTCTCCATGAATGACTTTTACCACGGAGACGTGCCCGTGGCACCCTGTGTGTTACTGCTCGCTCGTGGCGGTAATAACCCCATTTGGTTTCCTGCCGCGCCTTTGCAATGGGCTGTTCTGCATTTTGGTGTTGCCGCAGACAATAAAGTGTTGCGACCTTGAGCAGTACTAGAATGTACTAGACCGGACCGGGCTCCGAAAATTGAAGCCTAAACAGGGTCAATCCGCTTGTGGCGCTGCAATGGGTAGTCTGTAGAGGTGTGCGCCGAGGTGGTTTCGACCGGCGGTGGCGTTGGTGCAGGCGGCGTGGAAACCGAAACCACAAGTTCAAAAAGCTGTTTACTGCGTCTTTTTTTTTTTACTTGATTGGCTGAGAGGTAGAGGGAATAAAACATTTATTCGTGACAGAGGAAGGAGTGTCGGTGTGTGGGCTCCTTAGTCCGGGACACCATTGGTGCGGGCCGCTGTCCTTGCTCGTCTCACGAGGGCTTCTTGGGTCTTCGGATCCGAGCTGGACAGAGCTGCCTCCCACCCTACAGTGTTGGGCTGTGCTCTCGCCCTACGAAACCCAAGGTCCCCTTTCGTTCTAACAGATTCAAAAGCAGCCTACCGAAATTTTTGTAAAAGCTACATTGGCCCCATTGCGCATCTACTTCTTACACAACTCTCGTCCTCACGCTCAGAGGACAAATCGAAACAGCTAATACGGATACCCGGCCACTGCGGAGTCAGAGGCAATGAGCTCGCCCATGCCTTGGCCCGAGAATTATTCTTCCGAACCTCCGACCCCGGCATATCGCACCCACACTCGGCTATGCGTATGGACCCGTTCCTAACATACGCAGATGTTCTAGAAAAACTTGATAGACGGAAACTTCCACCCCCGGGGCCAAAGCTCAGTAAAGAATCTCAGGTATCGTGGCGTCACCTGCAGACCTTGTCTTGCCCCACTCTATACATACTGTCCAAGATAGATCCCGACACATACACACCACAGTGCAGGTTCTGCGTCACTAAAACAGCCACCCTGTACCACATGGTATGGGAATGCCCACACAATCTACCTCTACAACCCAGAGCATGGCCGAAATTCAGAGCTTATAGCACTAACTGCAAAATATGACAGATGAGATTACTAGAAGAGAATTGGTAAACGTATTGTAAATGCTTTGTTCTTGAGCATGCACAGTGAAAATGGGGGAAAAAGTGGGGCCAGGGGAGTACTTATCTTAAGTCGTGTACAGTAGATTATTAATTTTTGGGGACATTTTGACCACCCGATTAGCGTTCGTCAAATAGCGATTACAGCGGCTGGGATCGAACACGCATCAGAACACCGTGCCACCGCGGTACGTATGTTGAATGTATGTTTATTGCTTCCACACATGTGCAGCACTGTTTTTTTTTTCAGGGCGAAACTTTTTAGGGTGTGCGTCTGTCCATCTTCTGACGGTGTATGTAGCCACCGGTGCCGGTCCTTAACACGTCCGCTGGATGGCGGCACTTCTATATATGATGAATGCAGAATGAAAAGATGTGAGATGGCTGTACTTGGGAGTGTTAAGTAGATAGACGGACGGACGTACAGATAGACGGACGGACTGATGGATGCACAGACAAACAAAGGGGAGGACGCATGGATGGACAGACAGGCAGAGGGATGGCCGCACGAACAGACGGAACAACGGAAGTACGGGCTGATGCATGGACGGAGGGATACAGCGATGGTCACATGGATCGACGGACGCCTGGACGGACGGAGGTAAGAACGAATGGGAGGATGAAAGCACGAACGGACTGATGAACGCTTCGCCCCACCAATCGTCATTCACTCCGTGGATATGCTGTTTTTTTTACTGGTTTTGCACATGTCTCACAAGGTACATGGCGGTAACCTACTGGCATATCACTTCAAAGAATGATGAACCCAGCCTTAAAGGACGTGCGCAAACAACAAAATTCAACACGCAAGCTTGAACGTCAGTATTTTTGATGAAGCAACACGGTTCGAAAAGAAAACCGAGACGAGCATGTGCTACACATAATGCAGCTAGTACAGATGAAAACACTGTGCATAAGACAGTCACATAATAAATAACCAACACGTGCCCGTGCGCCTTAAAAACCATAATGATTTAACCCAGGGCACGATACATTCTAAATTACCTTTCTCTAAAAATATGATAAGCGTCTTTTCGTGATAACACGAGCAGGATTATGCTTTTTTTGTGAATTTTATATACTTCAGTCAGTTCGCTATCGCATATTGTGGTATTTGATATATTCTTTGATCAGTTCCCTCTCGCATTTATTTCATTTCTGGGTATCGTTAAAAACTGGCGAGCAACTGCACTCTCAGTTGAGCAGGCGAGTCTCCTCCCGATGATGTGATGGACATTCCAGGTTGTTTGAGCGTCCCGCCTGGCCTATGCACACTCTACCACAAAACAAGGAATGGCTAAAATTCCTGTCCTTTTCTTCTTCCTTATACAACAAGAAAACGGTGTACGATACGTATGACATCTAACAAAATAATGAGCCCTTAAATGCACACTTCTTTCCTCACGTTTGCGAGTAATTTGGTTAATCTATTACGTGGCCATTGCACCTGCTCCTTTATTTCCGGATTTGGTGATCTCACAAAATCACGAAAGCACTGCATGGCCGTCCAAATGTGGGGCGTTATGCAGCCTGACGAGGTGAGGAGTTCGACAAAAACTACTGCAATGGCTCCCGGCTTCCCGACCACACCGCCCTGCTTGAGGAGAGCGGTGTCAAGGCGGATGACAATCAGCCTCGATAATTGAGCGTGGCGAGCGAGTGGTGGTTCCCCCCCCCCCCCCCTTTTTTTTTTGCTCCATTGCACGAGCGTAATTTTTCATTATTAATGCCGTAGTAGGTTTCAAGCAAGTGTGCTTGCATCAGTTACGCAATGAGTGTTTAGAGAAGGCTCTGAAAGGCCGCTCTTCTAGTTCTCGTTGTGACTGTGTGCGCCTTCCGCGCAGGCCTGGCGTTTTTTCTCATCCCTTTATTTAACTGTAACCGGCAGGCAAATTGATTGCGATGCGTTTACTCGAGGGAATAATTAAAAAAGGACGGATAATTTACTGGTGACAGAATAAACT